AAAGGGAAGACAGTACTTATCCAGCAGAGATTTATAAGCAAAAAACACGCCAACAAAATGACAGGGAGACAGCACTATCTAGCAGATATTTTCAAGCAGAAACATACCAACACATCAGGTTTTAAAAGCACTACTCCAGCAGAATTTATCAAGCAAAAAACACACCAAACGACATGGAGACGCACTATCCAGCAGATATTTATAAATCAAAACACTACCAAACTGCATGGTGAAAGCACTACCCAGCAAAATTTTTATCAAGCGAAACTTCAACAATCATGGATGACAGCACTACTCCAGCAGACATTTATCAACAAAACATACCCATCAGGGATGACACCCCAAACCCCTGCAGATTTTTATCAAGCAGAAACCTACCAACACATGACAGGGAAAAGACAGCCTACCCCAGCAGACTTTTATCATCAACACACAAAAACAAATTGTCAGGAAGACAGCACTATTCCAGCAGACATTTTATGATGCAGACTCACTTCCAACAATGCCCATGGAAGACAGTACTTCTCCAGCAGACATTTACCAGCAAAACACGCCAAGCATTCAGGGAAAGGGGCAGCACTTCCCCACAACATTTATCAAGCAAAATACTCCCAAACCATGACACGGATGACATCACTACCCAGAAACATATATCAAGCAAAAACACTCCCAACCACATGAATGGAGCGCCTATTCCGCAACATTATCAACAGAAACGCTACCAACAAACCTTTAAATGAAGAGACACAACTCCAGCAGACTTTTCCAAGCAGAAATCGACCAAACATGACTGGATGACATCACTACTCCAGCAGACATTTATCAAGAAAAAACCACTCCCAAACACATGACATGGATGACAGCACTCCCCCGCAGAATTTATCAACAGAAACACTACCAACACATGACATGGAGACAGCACTACTCCCCGACATTATCAAGCAAAACACTACCAACACTGAAGGATCAGCACTACTCCAGCAGATTTTTACCCAAGCAGAAACAACCAACACTTTACATGGAAACAGCACACTCCAGCAAAACATTTATCAAGCAGAAAACACTACCCACAGACAAGGGATGACAGCACTACTTCAGCAGAAAATTTTTTCAAGCAGAAAACTCCCAACACATGTCATGGTGACAGCATACTCCTGAAATTTTTAAAGCAAACACTACCAACACATGACATGGATGACAGCATTACCCAGCAGACATTTACAACAGAAACAACCAACAATGACTTGATGACGACTACTCCTGCAGATATTATCAACAGAAAACTACCAAACACATAATGGATTCAGCACCCCAGAGTATTTATCAAGCAGAAACACAAACAACACAGATATGGTGACGCACTACCCCAGAGACATTTACAAGCAGAAACGCACCAACTAAACCCTTTTTGATGGAAGAGAGCACAACTCAGAGAATTTCTCAAGCAAAAATACTCCAACAAATGACATGGATGACATACTTTTCCCAGCAGACATTTATCAAAAAAAAACGCACCAACTAAAACCTTTTGAGGGAAAGAGAGCACAACCCCAGCAGACATTTCTAAACAGAAATCTCCAACCATGACATGGAAAAAACATACCCCAGCAACATTTTCAAGCAGAAACAATACCAACACAACCTTGAGGAAAGAGCACTACTCCAGCAGACTTTTATCAAGCAAAAACACACCAACCAATTGTCATGGAAGACAGCACTTTTCCCACAGACATTTAGACGCAACTCACTTCCAACATATGTAAAGGAAGACGTACTTCCCACGCTTTTATGAACAGAAAACTACCAGAAAGCCCAGGGATGACAGCACACTCCAGCAGATATTTATCAAGCAAAACACTACCAAAAATTTACATGGATACAACATACTCCAGCAGACATTTTCAACAGAAACACTACCAAACATGACAGGTTGACAGCACACCCACGATATTTATCAAGCAAAACACAACCAAAATGACATGGTTTCAATACCCAGAAATATTATAAAGCAAAACCACAAACCATGACAGGATGACCATACCCAGCAGATATTTTATAAAGCAAAACCTCCCAAACATTACGGGTTTGACAACACTACTCCAGCGACTTTATCAAGCAAAAACACTCCAAACTACAGGATCAGCACACCCCTGCAGATATTTATAAGCAGAAACACTCCAACACAGACAGGTGACGTCTACCCCAGAAACTTTATCATGCAGAAACGCTACAACTCAACCTTTGATGAAGGGGCACAACCCAGCAGACATTTCTAAGCAAAAATCTACCAATACATGCATGGATAACACTACTCCAGCAACATTTATCAAGCAAAAACACTACCAAACACATACAGGGATGACAGCACACTCCAGCAGATATTTTTCAAGCACAAACACTACAACACATGACATGGAGACAGCCTACTCCACAGACATTTATCAAGCAAAAAACAATACCAACACATGACAGGGGAAACAAAATACTACAGCAGCATTTATCAAGCAGAAACCTACCAACACTTTACATGGAAGACAGCACTACTCCAGCAGACATTACAAGGAAAAACCCCCAACAATGTCATGGAAGGCAGCACAACTCCAGCGAATTTTTAATCAAGCAAAACACTACCAAACATGCATTGACAGCACTACTCCACAGAATTTATCAAAGAAAACTCTACCAAACAGACATGGAAGACAGAAACTCCGAGATATTTAATCGCAAAAGGTTACCAATACATTACTGGGACAGCATACCCCACAACTTTTATCAAGCACAAACACTACCAACACATTCAGGAAACAGCACACTCCAGCAGACATTTATCAAGCAGAAACCCCCCAACACATGACAGGATGAAGCACTCTCCAGCAGCTTTATCAGCAGAAACGCTCCCCAACTCAACCTTTGATGGAAGAAAAAACCCAGCAGCTTTTCAAGCAAAAAATATACCAACACTAAGGAGAACACTACTCCACAGACTTTATCAAGCAGAAACATCCCAAACCATGAATGGATGACAGCACTACCCCCAGACATTTATCAAGAAGAAACCTCCCAACTCAACCTTTGATGGAAGAGAGAAACTCCAGCAGACATTTCTAAAGCAAAATACTACCAACCATACATGGATACATCACTACCCCAGCAGACATTTACAAGCAGAAACACACCCCAAATTGTCATGGAAGACAGCACTTTTCCCAGCAGACATTTATGACGCGATCCTCCAAATATGTCATGAAGACAGCACTCCTTTCCAGCAGACATTTATCAAGCAGAAACACCCCAACACATGACATGGATACATCACCACTCCAGCAACATTTATAAACAGAAAACTACAACACATAATGGATGACAGCATTTTACCCAGCAGACTTTTAATCAAGCAGAAACGCTACCAACTCAACCTTTGAGGGAAGAGAGCACAAACCCACAACATTTCTAAAGCAGAAATACAACCAAACATACAGGATGACATCACTACTCCAGCAGACTTTTATCAACAGAAACCTACAACCAAATTGTCATAAAGACAGCACTACCCCAGCAGACATTTATGAGCAGACTCACCAACTATGTAAAGGGAACACAGTACTTCTCCGCAGACATTATGAAGCAGAAACACTACCAACCATGACATGGATGACAGCACACTCCAGCAGCTTTATCAAGCTGAAACACCCCAACGCTGACATGGTGACAGACTACTCCACAGACATTTACAAGCAAAACACTACCAACGCTGAATGGATGACAGCACTACTCCAGAGACATTTATCAAGCAAAAACACTACCAACCATAATGGAGACGACTACCCCAGCAACATTTATCAAGCGAAACACTACCAACGCTGACATGGATGAAGCCTACTCCGCGACATTTATAAAGCAAAACAACCAAAACATGACAGGGATGACAGCATACTCCAGCAACATTATCAAGAGAAACTTACCAAACTGAATGAAACGCATACTCCAGCAGAATTATAAAGCAAAAAACAACCAACACATGAATGGAAGACAGCACCACCCAGCAACATTTATCAAGCAGAAACATCCCAAACATTCAGGGAAAATACGCATACTCCAGCAGACATTTTTCAAGCAAAAACACTCCAACCAAATTGTCATGGAAACAGCCTATTCCAGCAGACATTATGCGCAACTCACCCCAAACTATGCAAGGAAGAAGTACTTATCCAGCGAGATTTATGAAGCAGAAACACTGCCAACACATGACATGGATGACGCACTATTTACAGATATTTACAAGCAAAACACTCCCAACACATACTGGATGAAAGCACTACTCCAGCAATATTTATAAGCAGAAACACACCAACACATGACTGGTAGCACACCCGCGATATTTAAAGCAGAAACCACCAACAATGACATGGATACAATACCCAGCAATTTTATCAAGCAGAAACCTCCCAACCAGAAAATGGAGACAGCACTACTCCACAATTTTATCAAGCAAAACACTGCCAACACATGACATGGATGACACACTACCCAGCAGACATTTACAAGCAAAAACATACCAACACATAATGGATGCAGGCTACCCAGCAACATTTATCATCAGAAACGCTCCCAATAAACCCTTTTGATGAAGAGAGCACAACTCCAGAAACATTTCTAAAGCAAAAAAACCCCAAACTCATGACAGGGATGACATCACTACTCCAGCAGACATTTACAAGCAGAAACAACACAAAACAAAAAATTTGTCATGGAAGACAGCACTATTCCAGCAGACATTTAGACGCAGACTCATTTCCCAAACCTAGTCAGGAAGACAGCACTTCTCCGCAAAATTTTATAAGCAGAAACACACCAACACAGGTCTGGAAGACAGCACTATTCCAGCAGACATTTATCAAGCGGGAAACACTTACCAACACAAATTTGTCTTTGGAAGAACAGCACAATTCCAGCAGACATTATGACGCAGACTCATTTCCACACATGCATGGATGGCCCAGGGCACTACTCCAGCAGACATTTATCAAGCAGAAAACTCTGCCAAGAATGTCATGGAAGGAAAGAAACTCTCCGCAGACATTTATCCAGCAGAAACACTACCAACACTTGTCATGGAAGACAGCACTGCTCCAGCAGACATTTATCCAGCAGAAACACTACCCACACTTGTCATGGATGACAGCACTACTACAGCAGACATTTATCAAGCAGAAACACTACCCACACTTGTCATGGATGACAGCACTACTACAGCAGACATTTATCAAGCAGAAACTCTACCATCACATGACAAGGATGACAGGACCACTCCAGCAGACATTTATCCAGCAGAAACACTACCAACACATGACATGGATGACATCACTACTCCAGCAGACATTTATCAAGCAGAAATACTACCAACACATGACATGGATGACAGCACTACTCCAGCAGACATTTATCAAGCAGAAACACTACCAACACATGACATGGATGACAGCACTACTCCAGCAGACATTTATCAAGCAGAAACACTACCAACACAACCTGTGATGGAAGAGAGCACTACTCCAGCAGACATTTATCAAACAGAAACACTACCAACACAACCTGTGATGGAAGACAGCACTGTTCCAGCAGACATTTATCAAGCAGAAACACTACCAACACAACCTGTGAAGGAAGAGAGCACAACTCCAGCAGACATTTATCAAGCAGAAACACTAACAACACAACCTGTGAAGGAAGAGAGCACAACTCCAGCAGACATTTATCAAGCAGAAATACTACCAACACATGACATGGATGACAGCACTACTCCAGCAGACATTTATCAAGCAGAAACACTACCAACACAACCTGTCATGGAAGAGAGCACTATTCCAGCAGACATTTATGAAGCAGAAACACTGCCGGTGCATGTCATGGAAGGCAGCACTACTCGAGCAGACATCTATCCAGCAGAAACACTACCAACACATGTCATGGATGACATCAGTACTCCAGCAGACATTTATCTAGCAGAAATTCTTCCAACACATGACATGGATGACAGCACTACTCCAGCAGACATTTATCAAGCACAAACACTACCAACACAACCTGTGATGGAAGAGAGCACTACTCCAGCAGACATTTGTCAAGCAGAAACTATACCAAGACAAGTCATGGAAGACAGTACAACTCCAGCAGACACTAATCAAGCAGAAACACGACCAATACAGTATGCCATGGAAGACACCATTACCCCAGCAGACATTTATCAAGCAGAAACACTAACAACACATGACATGAAACACATCACTATTGCAGCAGACACTTATCAAGAAGAAACACTACGAACACATGTCATGGAAGGCAACATTGCTCCAGCAGACATTTACCAAGCACAAACACTTCCAACACATGTCATAGAAGACAGCACTACTCCAGCAGACACCTTCCAAGCAGAAACACTTCCAACACCTCATAATGTAAGCAGCACTTTTCGAGCAGACACTTACCCAGCACCACTAATCGTAGGCAGCAATGCTCACGCAGACACTTATCGATCAGGCACTTACCCAACGCCACTTACTATCGCAGGCGTCACTGTTCCAGCAGACATTCGATCACCGGAAATTTCGGTGGAGCAAGTCTGCCATCCAGCAGTGACACCACCGCTACCTTCCGCTATAAATACCAACACTTCTCCTCCTTTACCTCTTCCTACTCCAGTAGTTGAAGGGTTGACTTCTCAATTATTTGACTCGTTTGTACTTCAGGAAATGGAGATGGTCGCAGAACTGTGCACCGAGGCAGCGTTTTTTCCAGCCCCGAAGCACTGCCTTGTGGATGGCAGCTCTCTGCTGGAGGATGGCACTGTGCCATCCAGTACCATGGTGGATGGCAGTTCCCCACAGGATGATGACACTGTGCCATCTAGCACCATAGTAGATGGCAGTTCCCTGCAGGATGATGGTACTGTGCCATCCAGTACCATGGTGGATGGCTGTGCCCCACAGGATGATGGTGCTGTGCCATCTGGTACCATGGTGGATGGCAGTCTCCCACAGTTTCCCACTGTGCCATCTAGTACCATGGTGGATGGCAGTACCTCACAGGATGATAGCACTGTGCGATCCAGTACCATGGATGGCAGTACCCCACAGGATGGCACTGTGCCATCCAGTACCATGGATGGCAGTACCCCACAGGATGGCACTGTGCCATCCAGTACCATGGATAGCAGTACCCCACAGGATGGCACTGTGCCTCAAGGACACACAGGGAGAGTGAACGTCCTTCAAGGAGCGAGAGGATCAACATCTTTCAACATTGTGGCTGAGGACACCAATACACTGCAAGATGTCACTGGCATTCTACCAAACAACATTATGCAACAGGTTGATGCACTGCAACCTGCAACTACCATAGCACCATATCATGTCCTGGTAGTTGACACTGCTTGCACCTTGCAAGAAGACAAGATTGAGGAAGGAAGTGTCAGTGAGGCACTGCTTCTGCTGACCCCAGGCACTGTGCCTCCTTTTCCAGCACAGATTTTAGTAGTGGACAAAGATTCTCAACCTGGGACTCAGCCAGTGGAAACCCTGATTGAAGCCTCCTGTAGGGAAGCTTTCATTAGTCCACTGAAGGACACCAGAGTTGAAGACTCCAGTAGTCCACTGAAGGACACCATAATTGAAGACTCCGGTAGTCCACTGAAGGACACCAGAGTTGAAGACTCCAGTAGTCCACTGAAGGACACCAGAGTTGAAGACTCCAGTAGTCCACTGAAGGACACCAGAGTTGAAGACTCCAGTAGTCCACCTAAGGGCACTATAGTTGGATCCTTCGGCAGTGAAATCTGCACTACTCAAACCAGCTTTCACGAAGCACTGACTTTACCAGTACAACAGTGCCCTCTAGTTAATATCCATGAGTCTGTAAGTCCTCATACAGGACTGTACTCTGTGGCTTCCGTCAGTGCTCATAGAGTACAGCCTCGGACGACAGGGAGTCCTCTGAGAGATGTCAACACACATCCATGTCCTGAAGAGATGCTTATTGAGGATGATAGCAGTTATCAAATTCTCTCTGACGAAGATAACTTAAATAACTTGTCAGTAGAGAGAGATGGATCACAAGAGTTCCACAAGGACAGTAACACATTGTCAGCAGTGACTGACAGAGTACAGGTCACCCTGTCAGACACACACACATCACCAGTTGATTCTGTAGTGGAAGTCCATCCCACTGACACTATTCACACGCACCAGACACCACTGCAGTATGCATCCTGGTCACATATTTCTCCCACTGACGAAACATCAGGTACTGAATTGAGTGTTGCTGATACTGCATCAGCAGTGGCAACACTCCAGCTTAACTATGCTGTAGAAATGTGCCCACTGGCAACATCAACACCCACTGATATGCAGTGTAATGACTTCCAGAACATTGCAACATCTCCCGTTGGCACTGTTGATAAGAGTGCAAACATGGCAGACACCACCGTGCATAAACATGGCAGACTCCAATTGCAAGAACCTTCCCTTGTTGATCAGTGCAACATACAAGGCAGTGTTCATCTTGATGTTGCACTGATGTTCAAGGATGTTCAAGGTGCTGATGAACATATATGCAAAGACACACTATCAGTATGTATAGATGGCAGTATTGCTCCAGCAGACACTTATCAAGCAGATGTTCTCCTAACACATGTGGAAGGCAGCACTACTCCAGCAGACACTTATCAAGCAGAAGCACTGCCAATAAGATATGCCGTGGAAGGCAGCACTACTCCAGCAGACATTTATCAAGCAGAAACACTCCCAACACATGTCATGGAAGGCAGCACTACTCCAGCAGACGCTTATCAAGCAGAAACACTAGCAACCTCGCATGTGGAAGGCAGCGCAACACAAGCAAACACTGTCCTGGCACCACACACTTGCAGAGTCACAGTGCCTAGTACTGAGGTGACAAAGGCCTCAAGCAGACACAGTGCAAAGGTGCCAACACCTCACTGTTCCATCTTACCAGTGAGTACATATACTCCTGATTCTGTCAGTACCTCTCCAGAGCACACCTTTGTAGAGGAGAGAATATTTGTTTCACAGGATACCTTTGTAGAGGAGAGAACACTTGTTCCACAGGGAACCTTTGTAGAGGAGAGAACACCTGTTCCACAGGAAACCTTTGTAGAGGAGAGAACACCTGTTCCTCAGGAAACCTTTGTAGAGAAGAGAACACCTGTTCCTCTGGAAGCCTTTGTAGAGGAGAGAACACCTGTTCCACAGGAAACCTTTGTAGAGGAGAGAACACCTGTTTCACATGAAACCTTTGTAGAGGAGAGAACACCTGTTCCTCTGGAAACCTTTGTAGAGGAGAGAACACCTGTTCCTCTGGAAACCTTTGTAGAAGAAAGAACACCTGTTCCTCTGGAAACCTTTGTAGAAGAAAGAACACCTGTTCCTCTGGAAACCTTTGTAGAGGAAAGAACACCTGTTCCACAGGATATCTTTGTAGAGAGAACACTTGTTCCACAGGAAACCTTTGTAGAAGAAAGAACACCTGTTCCACAGGAAACCTTTGTAGAGGAAAGAACACCTGTTCCACAGGATATCTTTGTAGAGAGAACACTTGTTCCACAGGAAACAATTGTGGAGGAGAGAACACCTGTTCTGCAGGAAACCTTTGTAGAGGAGAGAACACCTGTTCTGCAGGAAACAATTGTGGAGGAGAGAACACCTGTTCTGCAGGAAACCTTTGTAGAGGAGAGAACACCTGTTCTGCAGGAAACCTTTGTAGAGGAGAGAACATCTGTTCCACAGGAAACCTTTGTAGAGGAAAGAACATCTGTTCCTCTGGAAACCTTTGTAGAAGAGAAAGCATCTGTTCCACAGGATGCCTTTGTAGATGAGAGAACACCTGTTCCAGAGGATACCTTCGTAAAAGAGAAAACACCTGTAGGACTGATCCCACAAAAATATTCCAAAGGTAATGATGAATATTCTCCCTATGTCAAATTAAAGAAAGAAATTGTATATGTGATAGGTATGGAAGGTCTTTCTAGTGCACCTGTGGATCCTTCTAGTGCACCTGTGGATCCTTCTAGTGCACCTGTGGATCCTTCTAGTGCACCTGTGGATCCTTCTAGTGCACCTGTGGATCCTTCTAGTGCACCTGTGGATCCTTCTAGTGCACCTGTGGATCCTTCTAGTGCACCTGTGGATCCTTCTAGTGCACCTGTGGATCCTTCTAGTGCACCTGTGGATCCTTCTAGTGCACCTGTGGATCCTCAGTGCACTTGGATCAGTGCACCTGTGGATCCTTCTAGTGCACCTGTAGATCTTACTAGTGTACCTGTGGATCTTGCTAGTGTACCTGTGGATTTTACGAGTGTACCTGTGGATCTTACTAGTGTGCCTGTGGATCTTACTAGTGTGCCTGTGGATCTTGCTAGTGTACCTGTGGATCTTAGGAGCGTACCTGTGGATTTTACTAGTGTACCTGTGGATCTTGCTAGTGTGCCTGTGGATCTTACTAGTGTGCCTGTGGATCTTACGAATGTACCTGTGGATCTTATGAGTGTACCTGTGGATTTTACTAGTGTATCTGTGGATCTTGCTAGTGTACCTATGGACATTACTGGTGTACCCATGGATCTTACGAGCATACGTAAGTGTTCGTTAATTGACCAAAGGTCCACTGTACCAAGTCAATTGGATTCTACATTGCACTCTGCAACAGTAGAGTGCAATGTTTCCCCTCGTGCACTCACAACACTGGCTGCAACCTATGGATCTCAACTTGCTGATGTGCCTCTACTGGAACACTCAACCTTAAGCGTCCAGAAAAAGGAATTTGATCCTCTATACCCACTCCAATATGCCAGTGAAAATGAAGGGGAATTTAGATCTGAAGCTGTGTCCGCTGCTCAGAATGTTCATTTGCCTCTTAGACATGGGATTAGGACTGTTGGTGAACGACATGAGATTAGATTAACCACAGATCAATTAGATATTCACAGAGAAGGCTTGGACAATGCATCACTGTTGAGGGAAGATAGCATTAGAGAGAGTGAGAGAGAGGTAGCAGGAACACGCAGAGATTATTTCTTCAGGGAAGACTGTGAAGGCACAGTACACACAGTGACTGAAATGTCTGACAAGCATGAAGTATCTGGTGAGGACTTTACAGTAACTACAGACAGAAGAATGACCATCATGGACAGGTTAATGTCTGACATCAAGCATGAAATTCCTGGTGAGGACTTTACAATTACTACAGAAAGAAGAATGACTGTCACTGACAAGCATGAAAAACCTGGTACGGACTTCATATCTACAGGTACAACTTCGACCATCAGTGACCAGACATTAATTCCGACTTCCAAGTCAGCCAAAACCTCTGTGCCCATTTCTGAAGTGCATGTGCTTGCCGACACTAGCGATAGAAACCTTATTAGCAAATGCAAAACAACACTGTCATCTTGCGATGTTCCTCGTGCAACATTGATCAAAGAAGGCTTGGTAGATGAGAGTATAGAATACACTGCTGATACAAAGCCAGAAGGTGAGTCACATTTTCGCCATTATGGCAAAAGTGTTGGTCTCACAAGCGCTCAGCCAGGTAAGGACAACTTATCATGTGGTACTGAGAGCCATATCGTTGTCGGCAACACCTTTACTGGCCAGGGCGCGTTGGCAGACTTACATAAACTCTCTGGAGAATACACTGCAGAGCGTTGTGATAAGCTTGACACAGTGTACGACGCACCTGTGTCACTAACATCTGCAGAACACACTGCAAGGCGTCGTGATAAGTTTGACACAGAATACGATACAAAAGTGTCGGAAGACTTTAGAGCCTTCCCAGCACTTGATTCAGAGAAGAAACATGATGCTTCAGCAACCTCTTTCAGTAGCGGCACTTCAGCTTTATCTGAAAGGTTAATTAAAGATAATATAACGCCAAGTTCTGCAGTGAACACTGCTCAAGAAGTTAATGATGGTCAATTAAAAAACACAAACAAATACCAGACTCTGGAACCTAGTTTATGGAGTCAGTCTGATGTAAGTGGAATCAACACAGCTCCTGCCAGACGTTCAGAAGATGGGGATCAATCATCTATTACCTATGGTACCTCTGTGCAGCATGAAGTTGAGAAAACAGACACAGAAAGCAATCTGTTAAAACTGGTATATCGTGATATCCCTAAAGGCAACAAGTCTGCCATTCCTGGAGATAAAGGAACCAGCAGCCAAGACATCCAAAGTACACTTTTAGATCACAAAAGTCATGTTGATTTAATTTTAGAAGCTTCAATCCACCAAGTAACTGAGACCACCAGTGACCCTCTTCACCCCAGTTTAACTCCTCAAATGAATATTGTAGAAAGCAGTGCTTCTGATGGTAGTAACATAGGAGGTATAACATCTACTCTTAGGACTGTTTATATTTCAGATTCAGTGGATCAGCTCCAGTCATCAAGAGAACGGGAAGAAGTTACAGCCGAGAAACAGCCCAAGCAGATGTTTGAGAAAGCTTTGTATGAGAGGTCAAACATCCCTAGTGATGATGGTGTAAGTCTGTCTAAGAGCGACGTACATAGAGCATCTGAGGAACAAGCGTGTGAGGATACAGATATACGTGATGCGTATGATAGTTCACATCAGACTAAGTTCAGCTCACTAAAGAGTACTAGAGTACAGGTTATGGAGGACTTAAGCCACCTCAGAAAGCCAGTCGCCTCTGATCGAGATTTAGCAAGTATAAAGAGGCGTATTTACTCACGGAAGCATGCAGGTGGCCTCAAAAAATGCTCCGACGTGGGTGAATTTGATGTTCCAAAAGACGTGTTGCATAAGACAGACTCTGCTGCAATGGGAATTGAAAGCAAGAATTTGTTGCAAGCAAGAAAGAGATGGAATGAGTTAAGCCCTGACATAAGTAGCACACTAGAAGGTGCTACCGAACTAGCTGTGACAAGCCAGCATAGTACAACACAACACTACACTCTACCTGATCAACATAGTGCACACCAGCAGGAGACCTCAAATATTAGAGGGAAAAAATTAATCTATTTATCAGAAAAAGTTAATTCTAAATCACCTGTGGACAGATCACAAAAAGCTGCGAGTGAGACACACGGGCCATTTATTCCTCCGGTCAAAGAAACTGTGCCTCCAGCAACGTGTGACATAGACAGTACAAATGTCACAGCTTCCCAGTATGCATCTGGGAAAGTTACACATGAACACACACTCAAAACCAATGTTCAACATTACACAAGTTACTCAGATAAGGACACTCTTCAACATTCAGTTCAAGGTACCAGTACAAAGCTATATTATGATGTAGGTCATGCATTAAGCCCAGCTACTGGGGACCTCGTAGAGACAGACAACGATGGCAGCAAATCGGATGACAGCGTGACACACAAGGTTATGTCTCAAATTTTGTGGTCTGAAGGTGCACAGGTAGATCTAAAAAAGTGTGGAGGTAACACCTCTAGCTGGGATAAAAAACAAGAAGAAAGATTGGACAAACAGTCAGGTCACAGGTCCTCAGGAGAGGCAGAAGCTAAACCTCTGATCTCCTGTACAAAACCAGCTGACAGAGTAAGTGTTTTACATCGTGCAACTCCTGACAAGAGCGACACACACACACAGATGTCAAGTTTATCTCTGGTTAGTAAAGACAAAAGGGAACCAAAGCAGATTGAAAAATTGACTTCACCTTCCTGGCAGGGCAAGTTTTTGATGGCACGAGACTGCACAAGTGATGACTTCGGAGCTTCAGATGAGAGCATCACCTTTGTATTCATGACTCCTGGAGAAGATGGTGAAGCTGCAGCTACAGGACATGTGCTAAGGGACACCATAGCCCAGTCAATAAGTTCCAATTACCACAGCTCCTCAGATTTATCCCATGCAGGTTTGAGCACTGGTCACCAAAGAGATCCACAACATGTACATTTCTATGACCTCTACAAAGCAAACTGTGGACATTTAGTGCGCACCACTTCTCTTGACTCCATTTGTGGTGTTCTCCATAAGATCAGGATTTCAAGGCTAAAGACAACACTTCAACGTACTTGTAGCCTGGAGGATGATGTTAACCAAGAACTGGAGGACATCTTAGAGAGAGGCAGACTCTTTTCTTCCAAAGAATCTCTCGCAGGCATAGGAACGAGTGATTTCCAGCTGCCAAAACCACAAGCTTCATATAAAGCAATGAAAGATTATAGCAAGCAAGAGAATACAGACACAGTATTTAGTCCAGCGACTATGGTTGATAAAGCTGCCGTCAGTGATACTAGTGAGGATGTGTTTACAAAGGCATCTCCTCCCCCTCCTACTACATTTGGTCAGGCTAACTGGCTGGAGTTTAAAAGCCTTATACTTGGACGTCCTCTCCCACCTTCATCAGTACGTAGTATTACAGGAGAGTCAAGTAAATCATCTCCACAGTTACACCCAAACAAGAAAACTGAGAATTTAGGCAAAAAATCAGTGTCATGGACAGATTTGAAGGGCTGTGGAGCACTGGAGGTAGAGGTACCTGAATTTCTGGGAGCTCGAGAGAATGTTATGCCTAATATACACCTGAGATCAATCATGAAGAAACCGTTGTTATCCCCAATTGCTCCCACTCCACCGCCTCCCACTCCACCAACACCACCACGCTCTTCTCAGCAGGCAACTCTTCCACCTCACAGCACTCCACGTCCTGCATCTCCACATCCTATTAATTTTGGGATAGGTGGCAGTTCTTCCCTTGAGGAAGATACTAATGAGGATGACCTTCAACTGCCTAGTTCAAACGTGAAAGAAATATTTTCTCTACACTTACCACAGCATATACGTGACCGCTTTTATAAATCGTCTAGTCCGTCACATGAGGGTTCACAAGACACTGTTGCTGGTAATCGTCCACATAGCATTAAGTCGTATACAAAACATTTAGATACTTCTGAAATTCAAGCAACCTCTGAACCTTACACAACTTCCAAACCCTCAAGTTACTCACCAAGTCTAAATACTTCCACTTTCCGTTCAGCTTTCAGTGACATAAAAACCTGTAAAGCTTCCCCATCACTGAATGTTTCCAGGCCTCACAGAGTCTCTCTCTCTCTGGGGAACTCCTCTTCTATGGAGGATAGTTCATCTTTGGGCTTCTCACAGTTCTCAGTATCAACATCGTCTAATATCTCCCTGTGCTCTGGCATTTCACCAACCTCAAGAGCCACATCTTCCTCAGGAGTGTCATGTTCTGGCTTCTCTTCATCAGGTGCTGTGTCATCCCCTGGAGGGGTGTCTCCTCTGCATGATGCTACTGCTGATTACCTCCAAGCAAATAATGCTGCTGTGTTAGGTCATGTAATGGCGACCACGTCCAGACGAAATTTAAGAGGGAAACAATTTCGTACATCATCTGAGCCTTCCTCCACCTCTGAAACTATGCAAGCTGATCTGTCATCACCAACTAGTACTCTCTCTGCTCCGACGACACCCTTGGGAGAGAGAGTTTTTTCCAATGTACCAAATTTAAGGGATGAAAACATGTCTCGATGCATGAGTGAAGGAGATTTGGCCCTACCAGCTGCTGAGGGATTTTCCAATACATGGACGGCTCTCTCTCGTGTTATGCAAGAAGCTGGCACCATTCTAAAGACACTCTCGGAAACATCTTTGGTTCTACACCAACAAATTGTCAGTCCTAGCCATAAAGCACCTCTGTTGCCAGTAATTGAAGAGGGTAACGGAGGAAGTAACGGAGGAAGTAACGGAGGAAGTAACGGAGGAAGTAACGGAGGAAGTAATGGAGGAAGTAACTCAAGTACCTCAGGCACCAAGAGCGTCACTTCTGTTGCTGTACAGACTGATCAACATCAAAATGTAAATACGAGGTCAATGGACGCCCAGACCAGCTTTGATTCAGTGAGTGACAGTGAGACTGCAGATAACAAGTTAAGATTATCACAGACCTACCATGATTTCCTTTCCAAGAGAAAATCTTTAAGATCAAGCACATCTGAAGTCTCCAGCTCAACTGGTGTCAGCCCAGAGTCTAAGGGAGTATCATTTTTACAAGAATTGGATAATTTACAAAGAGATCGTGATCGTATAAATCATATAATAGGCCAATATGAGACAACCTTCCATCCTTCTCATGCTCGAAGCCGAGTAAGTGACAGAAGTTTATCCTCAGACTTAGATTCTCCAATATCCAGTCTTAGGACAAGTCTGCACAACTTACCACAGTCACATCATGAAAGAGACTTCACGGAGTCTGGTAGTCAGTGGCGCAGCCTAAGTGCATCTAGCAAGCGATATCTAGCTATGTATCAACGGCGGTTAGAAGAATCTTGTTATCATCTCGAAGAAAGACTAAGACTCAGTGCACGAAAAAGGCAACTGCGTAAACAAATTCTTTCCAACAATCACAATCATTATTCCAACATTTATGATAAATTGGCCTTACATTCTTCTCTTGACTTTGCCAAAAGCCCTTTCTGTGGGCAAGAACAAAGTCCTGCTCCTGTGTCCTATATGTCAACAGGCTCTTTACCTACTGTAAGACCACAAAGTCCTTATCACAGTAAGGAGGATTCTCCTTGCTGTTGTGTATCCCCTACACACCGACCTTACCATAGCCAGTGTAAATCTGCTAGTTCCTGCTCTGCACATACTCACTGGGCTTCCTGTCATACTTCTCCCTCTCAGAATCTATCCTACACTCCTCACTGTATGAATTCAAGGGTCCGTTTGTCCACACAACAATGTAGAGAACAACTAATGACCCTCAGACATCATTTAGTCAGTGCATCAGGACTAGCTAGTTCTTCCAGCTCCTTAGGAGACAGCCCTCCAGGGAGGAATCGCAGCCGCTTTAAGGATATCGGAAAAAGTTATGATACTCCTTATCAGAGAGGCCATTCTGCCTCCCTGTCTAGCCTTCCCAGGGTCAGCAGCATCCCAGGCACTTGGAGACGTGGTACCACCAGGTCTTCAGCCTCCTTTGGTAGTGAGAATGAAACAGATAGAATACTATCGCGCCGGCGCGTGGATTCTGAATCTGATTCTGGAGCTGGATGGTCATCCAGTGGTACTAGTTACCGCTATTCTTACCACTAAGTGAACCCTTACAGTGCTACTTTACCTTGTATAATGTAAAACCTGATAGCTGTAAGTCAAAAAAGGTTGCCGAAGGGTATGGTAGAACAGACACATTTTTCAACAGACTTTATTTATACTATTTCCAAAAAAGTTCTGCCACCAGTGTCTTTTTTCTATCATGAGACCCGAGGCAAAATCTTTGACTTCGTGAGTTACCTGACCTGCCATTAGTATCCGGCCCATTTTTTCAGGCCTACAAATTTTCCCTATCAATATTCCTTGATAGAGCCAAAAAAAAAAACTGTGCCATAAGACGTATCTAGTCGTGAAGCTCCGTACGGTAGTGGTGAGGGAATTTGTACAGAGATTATGTAAAGAATTTAGTAAGTTCTGATCTTAAAGAACCAACCTACGAAGAAATATTTTAAGTCATGTTCATACAACTTTTTTTTGTACAGAATTGTAGCGTAAATTATGTGCCTGGTATCAAGTCTTCCATATGGAACCTTAAATACAATTATATGGAATAACATATATATAAAATTTGATTGTATGGGCTATAATGTGTGCCTATAATAAATAAGAGAATTAGTCGTGTTTGTTATCCTGTTGACTACAGATATTACTTTAAGATAGGAGGGTCTTTGATGCTGGTGGGGCTCTTGATGTAGGGACCCTCCAGGGAGGGTCGTTGATGCTAGTGAGGGGGCTCTTGGTCTAGGGTTCCTCAACAGAGGGTCCTTGATGCTAGTGAGAAGCTCTCTATACAGGGCCCCCCTCAAGGAAGGGTCCCTAACACTAGTGAGGGGCACTTGATGTAGGGCCCCCTCAAGGGGGGTCCTTGATGCTGGTGAGGTGCTCTTGATCTAGGGACCCCTCAAGGGAGAGTCGTTGATGCTGGTGGGGCTCTTGATCAAGGGAATTGAATCAGTGCTCTTCCCTGGATGAAGCCTTCATACCTCCCATACCCCCACCCCTATGGGTTTAGCGTCCCCATGATAACCATTCCAGCCTACATCCTTTTGCAGCACTGAATGACCCTTGTGGGTTTAGAGCCATTCTTATAATTGTGTTACCCCTTAATAATTATAATTCGGATGAGAATTGCACAGAAAACAATAAGGGTCAATATCGTGATTGGAACAATAGCCAAATAACCCTTACATGGAGAGGAACTTGAGGTCTGGTCACAGACCGAGCCACGGGGACGTCGACCCCTAAAAACCCCCCCTCCAGGTATATACCTGGACAGGGTTTTGGGGGTCAAGGTCCCCGTGACTCGGTCTGTGACCAGGCCTCTTGGTGGATCAGGGTCTAATCAACCAGGTTGTTATTGCTGGCCACACGTAATCCAACGTATGAAGCACGGCCAAGCTGATCAGGTACTGACTTTAGGTTCCTGTCCAGTGCCTTCTTGAAGACAACCAGGGGTCTTGAAGACAACCAGGGGTCTTGAAGACAACCAGGGGTCTTGAAGACAACCAGGGGTCTTGAAGACAACCAGGGGTCTTGAAGACAACCAGGGGTCTTGAAGACAACCAGGAGTCTTGAAGAAAACCAGGGGTCTTGAAGACAACCAGGGATCTTGAAGACAACCAGGGATCTTGAAGACAACCAGGGGTCTTGAAGACAACCAGTGGTCTTGAAGACAACCAGGGGTCTTGAAGACAACCAGTGGTCTTGAAGACAACCAGGGGTCTTGAAGACAACCAGTGGTCTTGAAGACAACCAGTGGTCTTGAAGACAGCCAGGGGTCTATTTCTAACCCCCCCCTATGTATCCTGAGAGGCAGTTGAACAGTCTTGGGCCCCTGACACTATTATGTTGTCTCTTATACTCCCGGTATAACGACGCTTCAGTCCCACTTGGGACCCTTAAGTAGTGACTAGTGGTCCAACTTGGACCAAAATGGCGCCATGTTTTTCCTGTGTACTGATTGGTGGAAATTTCTGTCCTGGACTGCCAGGTCACTCCTTTAAGAGCTTTACAGTAGACTGTAAGCCAATAATGTTAAGTTGGCCCATAATGCCTAGGCCTAATAGAGGCTCTCTTTGCATTACAACCCACTATTGTAAATATAAAATTTCAATGTACTGTTTGCAAATACAAAATAGATAAATAAGTCTTGAGATTCTTGGGGCAATCTCACGTCCCTCCTCACCGAAAGTCCCACTTTCAGGCCAATGTTACTCTGGCTTTTCTTTAAGCAGAAATTAACTCGCACCGATGTTAGTTTTGCACTTAACCTTCCCTAACATGTCTAACCAAAGTTGTGTTGTATGACCCATGTGGGTTTCAGCACTGTTCAGAATATACTCTTACTATTACTACTACTACTACTACTACTACTTCTATTACTACTACTACTACTATTAGTCTTAAACTCCCCTTGAGTTGAATCTGAGTGTCTCCATTTGCTCAGACGCTATATGACCCCTGTGGGTTTAGCGGTTTTCCCTGATCACACTTCCACTGCTGCTACTTACAAAATAATTTTTAATCACAGGTTATACCAGAACTAATGGAGTGTGCCTTGGGTCACTGCTGCTGACACTGCTGATAGCACTGCTGATGGCACTGCTGATGGCACTCCCCTCAAGGGAGGTTCCTTGGTGCTGGTGAGGGGTTCTTGATCTAGGGAATTGGATCTGTGCTCCGGTTCCCCGAATTAAGCCTGAATACCTTCCATCCTCTCCCCTACAGGCGCTGTATAATCCTACGGATTTAGCGCTCCCCATGACTATAATAATGCTGATGGCACTGCTGCTGATACCTCCACTGCTGATGACACTAGTGCCAGTACCAGTGCCTGTACCTCTTGCTAGACAAAATCTGTGATATTCCTACCTTCAGTGAAGGCACTCTCCCTTGAAGGTAGGTAGGTGCCTTAATAGTCTGATCTGAGGAACTGGAGCTTCCTTCCATTCCTCGGATCAAACCAGATTACCTTCTACTATCCAGGTGCTGTATAACCCGTGTAGTAGCTGGGTTGATAGCGCACTGTGGTGAAAAATTGGATATCAGATTGGAGGGAGAGAGTATGGAGGAGGTGAATGTATTCAGATATTTGGGAGTGGACGTGTCAGTGGATGTGTGTCTATGAAAGATGAGGTGAATCATAGAACTGATGAGGGGAAAAAAGGTGAGTGGTGCTCTGAGGAGTCTGAGGGGACAAAGAACTTTGTCCTTGGAAGCAAAGAGGGGAATGTATGAGAGTATAGTTATACCAACACTATTATATGGGTGTGAAGCATGGGTTTACCTGGAGTTTACCTGGAAAGGGTTTCAGAGGTCAACGCCCCTGCGGCCCGGTCTGAGACCAGGCCTCATGGTGGATCAGGGTCTGATCAACCAGACTGTTACTGCTGGCCGCACGCATGCTGATGTACGAACCACAGCCCGGTTGGTCAGGTACTGACTAACTGGCTTTAGGCGCCTGTCCAGTGCTTTCTTGAAGACAGCCAGGGGTCTATTGGTAATCCCCCTTATGTATGCTGGGAGGCAATTGAACAGTCTTGGGCCCCTGACACTGCATTGTCTCTCAGTGTACTCGTGGCGCCCCTGCTTTTCATCAGGGGAATGTTGCATCTCATGCCGAGTCTTTTGCTTTCATATGGAGTGATTTTGGGTGGTGAATGTTGCAACAAGGAGAAGGCTGGAGGCAGTGGGGAAAGCTGGAGGCAGTGGAGGAGGTTGGAGGCAGTAGAGGAGGAGGCTGGAGGCAGTGGAGATGTCATGTCTGTGTGAATATAATGCAGAGAATCCATAGCTTGGAGATTAGGAGGAGGTGCTGGGTTACTAAAAGTATTATTCATAGGGCTGAAGAGGGGTTGTTTAGATGGTTCAGACATTTAGAGAGGATGGCGCAAAATAAAATGACTTGGAGAACGTATATATCTGTAGTGGAAGGAAGGCTGGGTAGGGGTCAGAGTAGAAAAGGTTGGAGGGAGGAGGTAAAAGGAGGTTTTGCTTGCGAGGGGCTTCGACTTTCAGCAAGCATGTGTGCTAGATAGGAGTAAGTGGAGACATATGGGTTTTAGGACATGACGTGCTGTTGGAGCGTGAGCAAGGTAATATTTATGAAGGGATTCGGGGAAACCGGCAGACAGGACTTGAGTCCTGGAGGTGGGAAGTACAGTACCTGTACTCTGAAGGATGAGTGAGGATGTTACAGTTCTGGAGGTGGGAAGTACAGTACCTGTACTCTGAAGGATGAGTGAGGATGTTACAGTTCTGGAGGTGGGAAGTACAGTACCTGTACTCTGAAGGATGAGTGAGGATGTTACAGTTCTGGAGGTGGGAAGTACAGTACCTGTACTCTGAAAGATGAGTGAGGATGTTACAGTTCTGGAGGTGGGAAGTACAGTACCTGTACTCTGAAGGATGAGTGAGGATGTTACAGTTCTGGAGGAGGGAAGTACAGTGCCTGTACTCTGAAGGATGAGTGAGGATGTTACAGTTTTGGAGGTGGGAAGTATAGTACCTGTACTCTGAAGAATGAGTGAGGATGTTACAGTTCTGGATGTGGGAAGTACAGTACCTGTACTCTGAAGGATGAGTGAGGATGTTACAGTTCTGGAGGTGGGAAGTACAGTACCTGTACTCTGAAGGATGACTGAGGATGTTACAGTTCTGGAGGTGGGAAGTACAGTACCTGTACTCTGAAGGATGAGTGAGGATGTTACAGTCCTGGAGGAGGGAAGTACAGTGCCTGTACTCTGAAGGATGAGTGAGGATGTTACAGTTCTGGAGGTGGTGTGGAAAATTTTTGATTTTCCGAAGCTATAGCGCCTAATAGGTGTTTAATGTGTCGATATGAGTCAAAAATGTATTTGACAATAGGGTAGAACCAAGAGTTCCCTTTGCGCATGCACGGATGTGCGGGGGTATAGGGGGACTAGGGCCATGGGGGAGGCGGGAGTGTTTTGAATGTGGTGAGGAGGCTGGGAAAGCATGGAACCACGAAATTGGCATTCACGGCGGCCTAAGGATTAATATAGGCCTCATTTCATAATAGG